CAATCTTTGATTCAAGTATGGACTTTCTCCCATGGAACTTTGCCCCAGGTTGTAAGCCCTCCTAGCACACCATAGCTTTGACAGCCGTTAGCTCCACTCTTTTGGTCCAATCTCGTATAACAACTCAAAACAACATCAAATGAACCATCAACATTAATTTTAAAGCAACCATTAGCCTCCCTTTCCTCCATCTAACACTTACACTTTGTTCAATTCCTCCCTCGTATTTCACTTTAATACTGACTTCACGGTGCTTTCAACAATTTATTTGATTTTAGATGTGACATAAGAGGCAGCATCACGGATAACCTATGGAGGAGAGAATTGTACATATGTGGTAGCACGTGTACATCACTACATATACTCCATTTTCGTAATCTAGGGAAAAACAGTTTTCTCGAGATTTTCCAAATGTACTCTAATATCTATCTTGTTATTAAAATACAAGGTATGGAAAGTTCAAAATTTCTCGAAAATCATATCGTAGATTCTGGATTGCTTAACATTATCCATACTTGCCTTTTTAACCCCCCAGTGCATGTATGTCTTTTAAACACTATCTTGAGCAAAATGACTTCTATAATAAGTAACAGAAACCAATAACATGCACACATGCCTTTTAAATCTAATGTGTTACTAATAGAAAATGAAGCAAGTTGACAACCAAGCTAACTAGTTACAATTAGTGAAGGATAAACTAGTTTTTGCCGGACTTCTTATTTGATATAAAGTTGCTTGGATACATTATATTTCAGAGCCGATGAGTATATGAGATTCCTGGGATTCTTCCAAAAAAATTTGAAAAAAGTTTTTTTTTTAAATGGGTGCCGAGCAAAGGAAGAGAAGAGAAAAGAAAAGATAGGAGGCGTGCTTAATCACTAATCAGGTGTATGCTCGAGTTTGGCTACTTGTTCGATCTTCTGGAGTCCGTTCATTTGTCTGATGAGCCTGATACTTCCTGTTGGCTTCTGTCGGCGGATGGAGAGTACTCAGCGGCTTCGGCCTACGGGGCGATGTTCTTTGGTTCATCACCCGTGTTTGGGGCTAAGCAGGTGTGGAAGACCGCGGCACCACCGCGTGTACGCTTCTTTTTCTGGCTCGTCCTTCATGATCGCTGTTGGACAGCGGAACGAAGATTCAGACACGGTTTGCAGCCGTCCAGTACCTGCATCATGTGTGACCAGACGGCGGAGACAATTGATCACATCTTACTGGGATGTTCACTAACTAGGGAGGTGTGGGTTTTGGTGCTGTCCAGGCTAAATCTTCACTCTACCATTGTTGTTAGAGATGAAAATGTGTTTCAGTGGTGGCTTACGGCTAGGAAGTAGCTTCCAAAATTGTTGCGAAGAGGTTTTGACTCTCTATTCCTCCTGGTGGGATGGCTTATATGGAAGGAGAGGAACGCCAGAACTTTCAACGGCGTGGGGCGCCCGGCGGCGGAATTGGCTGCGCTTATTCAGGATGAGGCTTCGTCGTGGTGCCAGGCGGGCTTCACACATTTGCGGCTGCTGCTGTTCGTTTTAGGGGCTTGATCCAGCCTGCTGCCCGCGCTAATCGCAACATGTAACTTGGTGTAATCCCCCGTGTGCTCTGGTGTGGGATGGGGTGTGTGTTTTTGGTAACCAGAGTGTTACCATGATTGTTGTTTGTTCTAAAAACTTCTGTTTTGTATAATGAAATACGTGCTTTGGCGTGCTCTAAAAAGTAATGCTCACCCGTCACCACTCAAATCTTGTGATGTGTACTATTTTGTATTTTGTACTTGCGCAGTTACGCTCGCCATGGACCCCAAACAAAAATCAACATAATGGAAAAAGATGGACTTTCCTAGAGCAAATATGGTTCACACAAGTCTAGTGCATATACAAAGAAGTCGTTCGACATGAGTAGAAAAAACATTTTTTTAGGGCTTCTCCAGTGGCGAATCCAAAGCGACTCGTCGCTGGCACGGCCACCCAACCACTGGAGGAGGCCACTCGTCCAGGAGAGAGAAAAGTAGTAAGACTGTGAGTCGACTCTTGCCGAATAAAAAACGAAATTTGGGCGCCGCGGACCTTCATCTCGACATGGCGTGGTCGGAGATCCGCCCGTGTGCGCTGGCCTCACCGGCATCGCCTTCGGGAGCGCGCTTGGGCGTCCGCATGGCCAGCTCGAGCGGCGCCACACAGCCGCGGCCTCGTGCCCGTCGTCGACCTGGAGAGTAGCGAGTACCTCGCACGGCCTCCACCTGTACAGCTGCCACCGCTTTGCGCGGAAGAGTTACCGGAGGCAAGGAGGACCTCCAGCTTGGCGGCGCAGCAGCTCGGTTGACCTCCCACCGGAGGGCGGCACGGAGCAACATCTCCACGCGCTTTTACGGCGGCGATTTCGTGGCGGAGGAAACCGCGGAGAAGGAAAGTTCTCCGTCGCCCGGCGTTTTTGTATTTTTTTTAACCTTTTATGTGGGCCCACTTGCTTTTGGCTGAAGGAGTCGACTCTTTCTCCCTGCTTAGCATCTCTGAGAGTTTTCTATTTTTTTTCTTTTAAAAACTTAATTTGGCAACTTAAAAAAATTTAAGAAGAAAAAAAAGAAAATCATCTCTAAATATTTTAAATAAATAACATCTTAAAAAATTAATTTTGGAGCCACATGAATTATGTTGCGGCTCGAGAGGAGGAGCTCGCGCACGTCGTTGGCAGCTTGCACGATCCAACAGCCGAAGATGCACCAGCAGCTGCAGCTTGAGATCCAGCAGCCAAAGATGTACCAGGAGTAGACATTTTCCCCTTTCTTGAAAGAAAAAACACCAATACTCAGTATTCACGTACAGTCACAGTGACACACAGAACGCAAAGCTTCTTAACACAGACGTGTAGGCAGGCGTGTAGCCGGCCAAGAGCATTACTTGAATATACACATATACACAGGAGCAAATGGTACTTGAATACCAGTACGACTCGTCGCTGTGGGTGTACGATCCCGCCAACGCGGCCACCACGCTGGACGCGCGTGAGCTCATCGACTACCTCTACGTCCGGGCGATCATCTCGTCGGACCCATCGGACGGCGATCGCTGCGTCGTGTCGTGCTTTCGTATCGCCAGATTACACCGTGCTTCATGAGGCCGGAGACGCGCCTTCGGACATGGATACGGCCTCGACGGAGAACACCCAAGATAACAGCGTCCCGCGTCCATGGGGCCGTCCGCCGCCACCACCGCCGCCGTTGTTGCTGCAGTTCACCCACACGAGGTCGCCGCCGGTGTGTCGGCGATGGCGAGCAATCAAGCTGCGTCGGCCAGCGTCATCGACGTTCACGTACATCGTACTCGAACGACTGGTGATGATCTTGGACTCGACGCCGCCGCCGGGCGGCGCCATGGCCGGAGACGCGCCATTGTAAAGAGCGCCGAGCACCTCGCCTGAGCGAAGCGGCGGCGCGCAGCGAAAGCGCCAGCGAGCATCGGAGACACAAGCGGGAGGCGGAACGGCGACCTGGCGGAGTCGTGGTGGACGAAGTCCACGCTGAACCCGCCTTCACCGGCAACAACAGAGGCCGTGCAGGTGCAGCCTCGTTGACCGGCGAGGAGGAGGGTGAACAGAAGAAGCATAGTCGTCGCTTCCATGCGAGGTGGCGCGGCCGGCTGGCTTCAGGTGTGGAGGAGGAAGCCGTATCCGCGCGAGTCGCGTCCGCTTAAAGTTACGCGGAAGAAGATTTATCAAGTGCTTAAATTTTAGAAAGAAATATTAGGAGTTGTTGGAGAGGGTTTTTTTCTAATCTTTCTAAAAACTTAGAATTAGAAAGAGGTTTAACCGAGTTGTTGGAGAGGGTTTTTTTTTTAATCTTTCTAAAAACTTAGAAGGAGGTTTAAAAAACTCTTGGAGATGCTCTTACGTGGTGTTTTCTCTCTAAAAAAAAATCGACTCACGACTGGAGCTGCCCTTAGCTCACTTGGAATGCAACCGAGTCACGGACATTGGCACATTGCCGCTGTCTGCTGAACCGAGTCCCGAGTCCCTCTCGCGCTGGCCTGTCGACCAACTTTGATTGCGTGTCTTTCTTGAAAACATCGAAGATGCTTCTATTTTACCTACAGGGTCTAATCGTGTGAGAAGATTTGTCAGGTTCTCTGTGTTTTTTCTCTAATTAATTAATTAATTTAGATTAGACATAGATATGTTCGTTGTCATCCCCGTCATGCAGAACAACGAACAACCAATAACCGTTGCCGCCCGCCCTGCAGCAATCCTACCTTGGTCTGGGGTGTTTGTTTCCTGCTGGCTAAAATTTATCCCTGTCATATCGAATTTTTATACGAATTAGGAATATTATGCATAGACTAATTATAAAACTAATTACATAGATAGAATCTAATTTACGAGATAAATCTATTAAGTCTAATTAATTCATGATTTGATAATGTAGTGCTACAGAAACATTTGATAATGATGAATTAATTATGTTTAATAGATTCGTCTTGCAAATTAACCTAGGACTTTTGTAATTAATTTTATAATTAGCTCATATCTAATCCTCCTAATTATCATCGAACACTCAATATGACAATGACTAATCTTTAGCCAAGGATCCAGACACAGCTAGCGGACTTATTTAAATCTAGGGCTAAAGTTTAGAGGTGTCATATCGGGTGTCACATGAGTGTGTCATGTAAGAGTGTTCGGATAGAAACAATAAACAAATTATACAAGTCCCAATAATCCGCGAGACGAATTTATTAAGACTAATTAATTCGTCATTAGCACATGTGTGTAGTATAGCACTACATTGTCAAATCATGAACTAATTAGGTTTAAAAATTTCGTCTTATATATTAGTCGCAATTTATACAATTAGTAATTTTTTATTCTATATTTAATCTAATATCGATGTGACAGGGACTGGAGTTAAGGAGGGGAACAAACGGCGTAGCTACTCCCGTGTCGAGCTCCCTACTCGCACGCCGCCGCCGCCGGGGGACTCGCACGCGGAGCAGCAGCGGCAGGCGATCGACCAGTCCATGAGCGCGGCCCCAGCGTTCGAGCAGCAGCAGGCCGCGGAGCTTTTCGCCACCGAGGGCGACTCGGGGCCGTCCGTCATCAACCGCTTCGTCCAGACGCTGGCGAGATCCAGGTTCGTCGCCACTCGGAGCTGTCCCGAGCTGGAGCCGGAAGCGTTCCCGCTCCTGACGAGGCTCTACGGCAAGCCGGCCGTCCCGCTCCGCCTGCTGCCGCCGCAGCCCGACGGAACGCGCGGCGTCAGCAGGAGCACAGAGGACGACTCGACCATGCAGTGGCTCGACGCGCAGCCCGCCAAGTCGGTCGTGTACGCTGCTTTGGGAACCGAGGCGCCGCTGCGTGTCGAGCTGCTCCGCGAGCTTGCCCACGGCCTGGAGCTCGCCGGGACGCGCTTCCTCTGGGCCCTCAGGACCCCGGCCGGCGTCCAAGAAGACAGCATCATACCCGACGGGTTCGTGGAGCGCACCGGCGACCGTGGGCTCGTGACGACGCGGTGGGTTCCTCAGGTCAGAGTGCTGGCGCACGGCGCCGTCGGCGCGTTCCTGACGCACTGCGGGTGGGGTTCCATCGTCGAGGGGCTCCAGTTCGGGCATCCGCTGATCATGCTGCCCATCTTCGGCGACCAAAGCCCCAACGCGCGGCTCATGGAGGAGTGGAAGGTCGGATTGCAGGTGACGAGGAACGAGACGGACGGATCTTTCGACCGACACGGCGTTGCCGGAGCAGTTCGGGCCGTCGCGGTGGAGGAGGGGAAGGTGTTGGCGACCAACACTAGGAAGCTGCAGCACATCGTGGCGGACAGAGCGTGCCAAGAGAGGTGCATCGACGTGTTTATTCAGCATTTGAGATCCTGCAAGGGGTGAAGTAAATTCTGGGCTATTTTGTTGGTGACCATTAGTGGCGTCAGAGGTCTCGCGCATGAGCCGTTCGTTTTACTGGTACTGTTTAGTGCTACTAGTCATTTATGCAGAATTTTCAAGATTTATTATGCAGGAAATTAACGAATTTTCATGCTAAATTATGTGTAAATTACTATCAATTCCCGTTCTTCAGGCTAAAGCGTTGCGAACTACTGTCTATGTGGAGTGAATTCAAACCTATCCAAGCATATCATCAAGGTTAATCGAGGAGAAGTGTTGGATAGGAAGAAAATCAACAACTCTAGAATCATATGACTCTACTTTGGGGCTGCTATTAGTACCAGAGATTCCGAATCTTAAGGCGTGTCATGCTGTCATGAGCCGTACTTTGTGCCAAAACAAAGACTTGTCATGCATGGCTCGACAGGCCTCAGGTACCAAAAGGTCATGACCCAAAGCGACATGAAACGTGTACAAGCGGACAGGGCGTGCTGGCACGACACATCCTAAGTCCCACATCTTTGTGCTATTCTAATGGTAGCATATTAGTTTTGTGCCAAGGTGGCAGAATAGGAAGAGAGCAACCTGTTGTCTAGATGTCTAGCGATGGCAGTGACATCGGTAGCAAGTAAGAACAGAATGAGTTGTTACATGCATCCAAGCGGCAGCACCAGTCACAGCGGCCATGCGTATTGATGGCACTCGGCTCGGCGGGCACGGTGAGGAGATGAACGCGGCAGTGGTAACGGGACAGCCTGCCGAGAAGTGGTGTCAGCAGCGCGGCCGCAGAGACGAGGCCGGCAACGAGGCCAGCGCGCAGCAAGGCAGCGACGAGGCTAAGCGTGCACACAGACGTCCATGAGTGTGTTGTGTACGTGTGTGGCGTGCGCGTGTTTTGCCATTTTCTTTCTTTTTCTTTTACCAAAATATATAAATAATTATGTAATTACAAATATGTCCTTATTTCTTTATCACTAATATCCCTACACACCTACATATATTTATCGTATGTTTAAACGTATACTTATATTTAGAGTTACACTTGGAAAGAAATAAGTTTGTACACTACTTTAATTAATATAGCAACATGCACATGCTTATCAAAACGAGATATGTGAGTGTATATATACCTATATATATATATATATATATATATATATATATATCAATTTACTAATTTAGACAATTAGCAACATCTAGGCACAAGAAAATTTTCAACAAAGCTCGAATTTAAATTAGATTCAAAAGTTATATATATATATTCTATTTAATAATGTATTTTATTTCATTCTATTTTTGAGTTCTCTTCTACTCTAATCTTGCTCTAATTTATTATTAACAAGTTAATAATTACATATTTAGTGCTAAAGGGCTCATGTAACACTGGAGGTGTTACAACCAACCCTCCTAAAAAGAATCTCGTCCCGAGATTCGATGTAAGAATCGAAAGAGGGGAAAACACGATTACATTCGTAAATCGGAAAATACACGAAAGATTACACGACTTCAAATGCTAAACCACACAGGGATTTAGAGATACATGATTAAGAGCAACCGAATACAATCGAGACTTAATCCAAAAATCGAGATAGACGAGGGCAATGGAGAAACAACAAGATAATGATTATCCAAAACATGGCGTATGACCAACAGATCCAGAAACAGGAGACTGAGAAGTCAAACATCGTAAACCCTAAGACCGAACTAACCAACGGTAGACTTGAACTTCTTCGAAAACCAGATCATTCTTCTTCTCAGATTACACCATCATCTCAGACTGACGAACCTAGTTCCACAATGACGACTGGATCTCGTAGCTCTGTGTCGGGTTCGAGGGAATGGGGATAAAGAAGAAGAGCAGGGACAAAGGGCATCTTATAGTGGCGAACGAATGTGGGGCGTAACACACCAGAAGTAGAGACGGCATGGAGTACACTGACGGTTCACGCCATGGTGCGCTCCCTGCGTGAGCGGCAGAGGGGGAATAAAGGAGAGGGAAGAGGTTCGCTCGACGAGAGAGGCGTGCGGACAGCCGTGTCCCCAAAAGAAGAAAGAAGGGAGGGGAAAGTGGGGGGGTCCGGTACGGGGACTAGGACGAGTAGTCGAGAGCCGACCGGATGCCGAGAAAAAGGGGAAGCGCAAAGTACATGAGGACGGCCTGTGCGGCACGATGTCGCGACCACGTTCAAATGTCCTGTTCGTTTGGCTGATAAGGCATGACTAAAAGTTAGCTGATTTGTTGTAAGAGAAAATGACGAAAAAATTACGCCTTATAAACGAAGCGAATCAAAACGGGGCAGTGGCCAAGCTCGCATGCAGCTACGTACAGTACGTCCAACACGCAATCCATCCATCTGCGTCATGTCAAGCTAGCTGTCAATCTTTCACCGATTTGGAACTTGAACCGCTGCCCTTTTCCTTCTCCAGAGCTGAAGCATCATCGATGAGGAGGCAACTAGCTGGCCATGGTACTGCGTGTTGTGTGACACACACCGGCCGGCATCAGTCACAGAATTTATTCATCACTCTGGCTTTACAAAAACAGCTGCACGAGCAAGGAAAGGGGAGAAGACGTACGTACGTCGCGCCGGAGGTGACAAACGCAGGAACCGTAAAAGAGATCGCAGATCATTCACGAGAGTAGATACGGAGAACCCAGCCACGCGGCCATGCATGGCCAAGGTCGCATGCATCCATGCATGCCAGTAGTATGGCACCACTAGCGAGTAGCGAGTGTGAGCAGCTGCTATGCCTACGCTAGCTCGTGCTGGTACAGACAGAGGCAGAGGCAGGCGAGGGCTAGCTAGCATTCAGCTTCCAGCGCAGGCAGCGAGAGGCGTGCTGGTACAGGAGACAAAGCTAATGCTAGGAAGGGCAAAAAAACAAGGGAGAATCATGTATTTGGCAAGCATTTAACCCTAAAAAATTTAAACTTTTTTATTTGATGCTAAGTTGAAATTTCCTTCCTTGATAGCCCTGTCGTTCATTTAGACTAGTAACGGCGTCAAGTGGCTGATAAAATGACACGAATGCTTTTCTTTGTAGCAGAAATACATGATACTAAATAGGGAAATAATAGATGGACATGTTGTCAAATAAGAAAATTATAAATATCACAAATATATTGTGAACTAAAACATGGGATTATGATAATCGAAGTCTGCAAATAAATAAATAATAAATTTCAAATTCTAAGGCAAGAGTAGGTCCCCTGGGGTAGGCTTAGCACGAGAGGGATTTGCCCTGTCTAGTTAGCTTGGTCAGAAATTTTTTTGATGTAGTTTAGCAGCTCGCTCATCTCAGTTTGGTCAGTCCTATATTCAACAGATATTTCTCCACAAATGCTTAGAATGGTACAGATTTGAGCATCTAGTGTGACAGCTAGCACCTTACCTTGGGTCTGAATCACTCCTACTTATTCCTGATCTCTCAATACTTCAATTCTCTTCCTAGTCATGTGATTTTATTTGTAAGTTTAGAGAGCTAGTAAACCATGGGAGGCATAGTATCAATATAATTTCCCTTCATTTACAAATGCACCCACAATAATGCTTGTCAATATCTATGTTTCTGTCTTACAAATTTTCAGCTTTACGATCTTGATCAAGGGCCTGATTCTATGATTCCAGACAACAAGAGTATCACATTTTTATGATTCTTATGTTTAAGATTGTATATGATTGGGATCTTACGTGGACTCCAACCCAACTTATAATCTACGACTGGACAACCTTAACGACAATGCAATCCTTCAATCAACACATGGCAGACCCAATTCAACATTCCAAACCCCAAACGAACATATTCGAGATATTCTGGTAATTCTTACTTGTGCATACAGTACTTGTACTCCTGGCCTCGAACATAGTCCAACTCCCCTTCCTCAAGCTGCACAAGGCAGCCAAGCAAAAAAATCAGTAAATCAAGTATATCGCAGCTGCTGAAACCCCACATCCTGATGCCACCACTCACTGGATCGCCACCGTATATGAGGTCGTAGCACTCCGGCGAGAGGCAGCGCAGCACGCAGTTCTCCTTCTCCGTCGGCGAGGACCTGCAATCCCAGCCCCACAGCCCGCTGCGGTATGGCAGAGAGAAACCACCGTCAGAACTCAGAAGCATCGCGTCAGATGCGTTCCACTGAACAGAAAACAAGCAGAGAACTCATCATCCTAACACGTACTTCTCGACGTCGGTGTAGCAGGCCTCTTTCTTCTGCCGGATCTCGTTGTCCTGCGCACGGAGTTCGGTAAGCGCGATGAGATAGATAGAGACTAGAAGAGGCGGACGGAGGAGAGAAGGCAGGGTCAGGCCAGGCGGGGAGACGTACTGAGATGGGGCGGCGGTGGAGACGACGAGGAGAGCGAGGATGAGTACTAGGAGACAGCAGGCGGAGGGGAATCGCCGTGGATTCCGGATCCAAGAACATGCTCCCACAATCCTCCTGATCTGGCCTGGGGAGGCTGCCCTGTGGCCTGTGCGCCGGGAGCCGCCGCCGCGCGGCCTCTGCCACGCTGCTGGCTGCCCGCCGAGCGGCCGAGCGCTCCTGTCTCCGTGAGTCCGTGACCTTCTTCCCCGAAAAAAACACCGAAGGAGGAGAGGATGATAGAGCAGAGGATGTTGCGGCAGGCGGCGCCCAGCACCAGCTGCGCGTGCCCTGTGGCGGGGCGACCTCACCCGGCGGAGCCAGGCCTTGGCGCGGTCGCGGCGGCGGGGCCAACGCTCCGGCCAGCCCGCAGCGTGGCGGAGGCGGCGCGGCCCCACGGAGAAATTGGATGCGTGAGAGGGTACGTTGGTCACGCTAGCAAAACACTGACGCTATCAAAATAGTCAACTAACAGATAAACGAATGAAATTAACGGTAGTGCCGTCTAGATAAGAAAATTTTAACTTGATGCCAGATAATAAAGTTTAAATTTTTAAATATCAAATACCAAAGACTGATTTGTTTCGGTGCCTAATACATAATTCTATAAAAAAAAAACAAAGGCGGGCATGCAGGAGAGGAGAGGGTTCGTCTTCGTCTACGGGGCCCTGCTGTGACCTGGCCTGCCGGTCGGCTGGGCACTGGGCTCTTCTGAGACGATGCAAATGCAAACGGGCAAGCAGCAAAGCAAGCGCGTCGTTGCTGTTGCGGCCCGTGCTGACCGTGCATGCATGCGCGCGTCGGCGCGTGCATGGTTGTGGAGGCGCGTTTGGCCGGCACGGGGGCGGCCATGCATGCAAGCGCGCGCTGTCGTTTGCGTGCTTGGCCTTTTGACCCTGAGTCTCTCTGGAATTCTGGATCCCTACCGCTGGCGCCGTGCCGTACCCAACACCAACAGTGGCGCCTGCGCTGCCATGCGTTTCCCATATATGGCCTGACACCGCGCAAAACGGGCAAAAACGGCCTGCACAAACCAACAAAACGGTCGAGCAGGGAATGCGAGGAGGATTGTACTCCTCGGTCTAAAAAAAAAGTAATTTTGGAACAGTGTTATATTTTATATATCAAGTTTGACTAATAATAAATAAAAAAGTATAAATATTTATAATATCAAATAAACATCATTAGATTAATTTTAAAATATATTTTCATAACAAATTAATTTGGGGCCATAAATGTAAATAGGATTTACTAGAGACTTGGTCAAATGACATGCAACACATAGTTGTATCTTTTTGGGGACAGAGTCGGTAGCTGGGTTTCCAACGTATCCATGCATCCTTATATGAACACTGGTACATGGTGGACTTCAATCTCAGTTGAGCCTGTTCGGCTGGTATTAAAGCGAGCATGTGATCACTCTTCCGGATGATATCTTCTTTTTCCTTACCATGGACATCTTGCTTTACCATCCCATTGTCTGTTAAAGGCTTATAGCCTCAAGTGCCTTCACTACCGCCACCACTTTCCCTCGCACCACCAATGGCAAACGGTATTATATTTTATGGTGACATACTTCGAGATCATGACATGAGTGAAACAATGAAATGAGAATATCCTTATAATATCTCTACTAGTGGCAATTATTGGCTTCCTTTTCTAAAACAATTAATTTGCCAATGTGAAATCAAGTAATTATGTAGTAATTTGACATGAATTGAGTTTTTATGAGAAGTAAAAAATGTCTACATCGTAAACATGGCATAATGAAAATTCACATTTTGTTCCTGAGCATGACTATAGACAAGGAATCACTCTATACTCTGTCCAATCGCACAAACTTGACGTTTAGGACAAGATTTGGTTGAATTACATACATTATTAACTATCATTATATTATTTTTAGCTTGAAAAGATCAAGTTATTTGTGTACATATGTATTCAGATGCTTGCAAAATCTTGCTAAGTCCAATATGCTAGCATTTTTCACTGGAGATTTTGTTTTAGAATATGTTCTTAATATCTTCCAAATACAAAATATTTATAAGTATTCTGAATACAAATCGATCTATACATATAATTTGCACATTTTCTAAATATAAACAATACAATAGTTATTATCATTTGTAGAACTGTAACTTTTAAGGTTCAACCAATCTTTATTCTAAACAAGTTACTGTGACTAGAGGGAGTATTTAGCAGTGCAAGGGAGGCTAGTCAGATCGGTAAACGGGGCAAAGTCTTACTAACTCGCAGTCGTTTATGGAGATTTTCTTTCCTCCAAAGAACACGGCAGAGTTGGCTTCTAGGTCAACGCAGTGCAAGGCTTTTATTATGTTGATAGAAAAACAAATAAAATGAGATAACTGAGTACAATAACGATGAAACTTCCACCACTTCCGAGGCTGCCGGGCATCTTATAGGGTGAGCATCAAATTCACAGAGTCGCTAAGTCCTAATCAGGATCCAGGAACACATCAATTGTGGTGTGCCCCTTCAGCAAGCTTCAAGCAGATCCGACTCTACCGCGATCTACGTCATCAGCTGAAGACCCTCCAGGGCCCTGCCGCCGCGCCGCCGCTCCCACAGGCTCGGCGCGTTGTCGTCAGTCGCCGGCCGCCTCACCATCGGCAACGGCGGATCAAACACGCCCACTGCCGCCACGGCCACAACGCGACGGACACCACGAGTGCTCCCTGGCGCGGATGCCGTGCCAGCACGCGGTACGTCCCTGACCTTGGCGCACGCGCGCGACGTCCTCGCGTTCCGCCTCATCCCGAACAACCCGAGCACGAGATTCGCCACCTTGCCGCCAGCGCCGGCGCTGCGGTACCGCGAGTCCCTCGGCGGCAGCGCCGGTCCGCGCGCGCTCGAGCACCCCCTGCTCCTCCTCCTCCTCCCCTTCACCTGCCCCATGCAGGTGATCCTCGGCGACGCCGGCAGGCCGCCGTCGCGCTCGGACTCATCCTTCTTCTTCTCGTCCTGCGCCCTTTGCCACCCCGCCGGCGACAGGAGCAGCGGCGAGTAGGCGGCCGGCAAGGCTTTCTTACCGCCCTCCCTCGGCGCCGGGGGCGGCGTAACGTTGGCGAGAAACCACGTCGGCGTCAGCGCTTTGACGTGGTGCTGATGCTGAACCACCGCCGCCATGATCGGTGATCGATCGACGCCGGGGCCGCGCGCGTTCGATCTCCCTGTGCTCTGATCTGTGCTGCTGAGCTCTACACGGCTCCGGTCCGTGCCCGAGGCGGTTCTTAATTATACACGCAGAGAGCGGGGGCGGGGGTGGTCCATGACTCCGATTCGGTCCAATGGCTCGCGCGCAGCACTATTTTGATTACAAAACGAATAATAAGGAGAACAAAAATGTTAGTACGAGTGGCGAAAATGCGATTACTAGCTTCGTTATTCTTTTTCCAGGTCAAGTCCTCGTAGTCGTAGCGAGGCAGCGATCACGACTTGAACCAACGGGGACAACAGCGGCGAGCGTGACTGGGCCGGTGCGAGAGTGCGATTCCTGGTCGCTCTTTCTTCGCTAACTTACGTGGAACGGTTAGCGGGTCACTTTGGCGCGGCGCGGACGTTAACTATGCGAGGGCCGTGGACTTCTGCGCACGCGACGTCACTTCTGCAGACTTCTGCTGCCGGGAGGTTTCTTCGAGTTTGCTAGCTGCCCTCCCTGGTCTCGCTCTTGGCTCAGAGCCGGTTGGCGTTATGTGTTGCGGAGAAACCCATGGTTATGGCAACTTTGCCGCGTTCCGCTGGCACACTGCTGGCTTGTTTTAGTTTGTTTTAATTTATTTTCTCTCACAGAACACTATTGAATCATCCAGAACCATTCAAATTTTACTGTGCTGTGCACCAGCCGAATGTCTAAGACTGACTCTTGGTGTTTATTACTTTGTGCGATAACAAATTTAACAACCTCATCCTCGTGCCAAAACTGATTAATATAACACCACTGCACGTCGTTGTGTAATAATAATATGCTGAGTTAGGCACGTATTGTTTATGTTATAGTTTGTTGACTAGATACGGTGTATGAATGAACTGTGAAACATGGCTGACAGTATTCATCCAGAAAACCGTTAGTGTTGCACATAATCGGAAAGAACAAGGATCGGATCATCGGAGGTGTTTGTGAGAGACTGGTTAAGGTAGTGCATCGTAAGCTCGTCCTATAAATTTTGGTGAAATGATTTTATCATTAGAATATTAATTATTGTTTCATGACAGATGAGGTAGCTGTGGATTAACCCATCAATTCCAAGAAACCAAGAAGAATTGAGGAATTAGAACACATATACCGCCGTATTCCTCAAACCCAGTGTGTTCAAAAACTGCTAGACGCTAGACAAGCGGTCAAGCTCCTCCTTGCACTACTACAGATTTTATTTTCACGGTATGGTTTTTACTACCGGTTTCTCTAGAAACAACAGTAATAATAATGTTTCACCGCCAGTTCAAAGACCAGTGGGACAAAAAAACGACGATCAAAAATATTTTCACCGCCGGGTCATAGTGGCTATCCTCCTTGCACTACTACAGATTATCTTAATTGATTTCTCCTGTTGGTCATACACAAGATGCTTATGACATAGTGGCTATCCTCAATGTTCATACCCGATCCAAATGTGAATTAACAAAAGTATACACCATCTTTGATAACTACCTTGAAAATATGTTGATACAAATTACAATCAAAAGTGGCATCTACATGTTCTGAGTTGCTAGAGGTCTACATTTTTATGGCTACTGTCTCCAAAGTGTTAGCATAAATATGAGGTTTTGTTTCCCATTTATTTTGCGCACTTTATTACAACTCCACCATATCAGTTTTAATTTACAATAGTGTAAGTTAAACAAAACTATGGTATGGATCTAGTTGGAGCAATGGAAAGAGTTTGATCTCTCGTTTTTAATTGTCACAATTACCCAACATAGTTAATGCACATAAAATTAAGCTTACCATCCCATGGATACATAACAATACTCAATGTTCCTCGAGAAGAGGCATCACCACTTACTGATCAAATTCAATAGAGTTTTGTTTAAATAAAGCACCATATACATCCATATCGTCACCAATATGTGTATATCAAGGGATGCAAATTGATGCACTATAAGGTTAGCTCTCAATGCTTGATATAAACAACACAAGGTAATTATTCTGCCTGATGCCATTTATGAACGGCCACAATTTTATCTCTAGGATTTAAGTCCATCTGAAAGTAAAATCATACTGTTCATAAAATATCATTCATTCCATTCTTTCACTTACACGAAAGTTTCACCATCGATGTTCATGGTAGTTTGGTGGTGCCAACCGAACAACAAAGTAGTGATAGGTTGATGAAGTGACTTGCTTGTCAGAGAGAAAAAAAAGAGAGCTAGCACTTGCTACTACCTGCTTCGTCCTGAATCATAGATCATTTTAGCTTTTCTAGACACATAGCTTTTAATATACACCTAAATATACGCCATGCCCATATATGGGCAACGGGCCGGTCCGGCTCGGCACGGCACGAGCCCGTGCCAGGCACGGCCTGATGGGGTTGGGCCGACATGGAACGTCGTGCCTCCCGGGTGTAGGGTCGAGACGGCGGACTAGAGAGGGGGTGAATAGTCCTTTCTAAATTTAATCACGCCGGCTAACCGAAACAAATACGTAATTAAATCTATCGGTCTAGCCCTCTATCTATGTTCTCGGTGCCGGGCTAGCTAGAGCTCACCTAACCAATTCTAGGAGCAAGGTCACATAAACCTATGCCACTAGTACTTCAAGCAACGGGGAAGCTCCTACACATGCTAGTAAGCAAAAGCACAAAGCCACTTAAGCTCACTAGCAATGCTCAATAACAAGGCTACATAAGCCAAATTATAGAGCACAAAATATTTAGCTACATAAACTAAACAATGTGACTAACAAGGTTACTCAAACCGAATGAGTCATGCAAGGGAGCTACTTCTATGCTACACAAGCAAAAAGGTAACTAGCAAGCTACACAAGCTAACTAATTGCAAGAGCAACTACACAAGCACAAAGTATGAAATGTAAATACAAGCTTATGTAAAGGGAAATGCAAACCAACGAGAAAGCAAAGATAACACGATGATTTTCTCCTAAGGTTCACGTGTTTGCCAACACGCTAGTCCCCGTTGTGTCGACCGCTCAGTTGGTGGTTCGACAGCTAATTGGCATCACCCACCAAGCCCACACGTTTGGCACCGTAAGAACCTACCCACAAGTGAGGGTAGTTCAATGACATGCTCTACTAGTGTTGCTCTTCACGGCTCCCGCGGGATGAGCACGGTACTCCTCACAAATCCTTCTTTGGGGCACCACACAATCTTCTTGCGTACTTCACGACGGAGAACTCGCCACCAAGCCGTCTAGGAGGGGGCAACCTCCAAGAGTAACAAGCACCACCGGCTTGCAACTCGATCACCTAGTGCCACTTGATGCACTGTCACAATGCAATCGCACTAGAATCGCACTCACACTCAATCGGATGATCACTATCAAGCGTATATGAGTTAGAGGGCTCCCAAGTACACATACACAAGCCACCAAGGCTTAAGGGTGCTCAGCAACCAGCCCAAGGTTGGCTAATGCTTTGTTTTATAGCCCCTAAGAAAATAGAGCCATTATACCCCTTCATTGGAGTGACTGCACATTGACCGGACTCGCTACCACTAGCACCGGACGCATCCAGTCAGATGTTGCAGTAGCGTCCGGTCAATATTGCAATAGCATCCAAGGCATGTTGCAATAGTGTCCGGTCGCTATTGCAGCGTCTGATCGCAGAGTCTGGTCCTCATATCGATGCCACGCGTAGTGACCGTTTGAATGTTACCATTGGGCGCCAATGGCTCCCAATGCATGCAAACAAACTCCGCATCTGGTCACTTGACCGGACTCACCATCACCCAGTGTCCGGTTATGAACAGGGAGGTTCCAGAGAGGTATTTTAGCGACCAGACGCGTCCGGTCACCACTAACTGGACTCACCCAGCGTCAGGTCGCACTGTTGCACGTGTTGTCTACCGAGGAACAGTTGCACAGGCGCGTCCGATCGCATGTTGCATTAGCATCTGGTCACTGTTTCATTAGCATTCGGTCACTGTTGCATTAGCGTCCAGTCACTGTTTCAGCGTCCGATCACACCCAGTGACCCCCATCTCTTCTCTTTTTCATCTCCAACTCTTCTCCTTTGCAAATGTGCCCACACTAACAAGTGTACACCACCATGTGCATGTGTGTTAGCATTTTTCAAACATTTTCAAAGGATTTTCACTTGCTCTTGCCACACCATTCGATCCTAGCAACATCGCAATGTTAGATCGCTCAAGTGGCACTAGATGACCGATATGCAAACAAGTTTTCCCCTCTTGATAGTACGGCCATCTATCCTAAACCTGGTCATAAACTTCTCTACACACCTATGACCGGTGAAATGAAATGCCCTTTAGGTTATACCTTTGCCTTGCGCATTCTATTCCATCTCCTCCAATGTTGACGCAACACATGCACCAACTATATCAGAAATGATATGATCCACTTCATATCATCATGTGACCATATTGGTTCATTGATCTTGACCTCACTTGCTCTTCACCATTGCGTTGGTCCATCGGCGCCAAGTCCTCGACTTGCTCTTCACTCTTGCAACCGGTCCATCAAGCCAAGCCTCATCTTGATCTTCTCCACCTTAGTCACATGACTCCATATTATGTCTCATATGCAATGAACTCCTTCATCACATGTTTGAGCCTTGCAACAGATTCAAGCCATTTCACCTCCAAGGCATGTATTGCTCACACACATGTATCTATGGACTAATCACCTACGTATCTCACATAAACTCATATTAGTCCATCTAGGTTGTCACTCAATTACCAAAACCAAATAAGGACCTTTCACCAGGCCGTGCCCAAGTAGGCCTTGTGCCCTGCCATCAGCCCAGGCATGGCCTGCTAGGCCGATTTTCGGTCCGGGCTGGCCCGTAAAGCATAGCCTATGCAACAGGATGGGCTAGCCTGAGGCATGTGTCGCGGTGGAGCCATGGGGGAGCGTTGTCGCCGCCAGTGTCGCAGAGGAGCCAAGGCAGCCGCCCCTATAGCCGCAGCTCTCGTGGCTGCCTTGAGTT